TTGCAATTAACTTAACGAGCTATCAAATATACCTCAACATGAAGTACGCCACCGCCACAATCGCCGCCGTTACCATGGCTCTCGCATCCGCAAAGGACTGCAACCTGCCCCCCATCTCTGAAGCCGTCGTCCCCGGCGACGTCTTCAAGCTCGTGGCTCTCCCCAAGGTCGCTAACAAGATCGAATGCGGACTCTTCCAAGCCAAGAACAACAACCTCCTGATCGGCGATAGTTTCCAGGGCGCAAACTGCACCACTCGACTCCCCCGCGACCATGCATCGTTTGTCCTCAACGGTCAGGGTCTCCTCTTCCTCTACACCGGCGACACGCCCGACAACTTCAAAGCCCAGGAGATATTCGTCGACCGCTCTGGCATGGGCCAAGGCAACATCCAATACACGACCGGCCTCCCTGCAAGTATTGGCCGCAACCAGCAGTTGGGTCCTTTCAAGATTACCGAAACTAGCGACCTTGTCTTTGATAACGGGAATGGTGTGGTGACGGCTTTCCAGGCTTGTCCCCCGGCTAGCGGTGACAAGTTCACAGGCTGGAAGGTCTGGCTCGCGGGCAATGACAAGCCGGCCGGTAGCGAGGGTTGTGTTAAGCTGAATGCTAGAGCGGTCAAAGAGACGAAACCTGAGGCTTGCGAGTACTCTGTTTATAGCGCTTGTAGAAGAAGTTAGTGATAATTATCTCTAGATATAACAATAACACGATAGGTTCGATTGGCTATTGTCTTTCATATCTTTTATGTTTGCTCTTATCAACATTGGTTAAAAAGAGGTCAGAGAGGTTGGTTGATCGACCCGGCCTCGACAAACCATTCTCACTGGTTTCTTAACAATGTTCATAGCATGTTATGTAAGAGGATATCACAAACATATAATAACCCCATGTTTTTCATCACTAAAACATAGGTAAGGGTTAGACGAAAAGGAAAAGCTCTGAAATCTGATTCTGATTAAACGTTCAATGGGGTAAAGTATTAACATCATAGCTATACTCTCTATATCTATTGATACGCTTGATGTACATATTATGTACGATATTTACAGTAGATAGTACTTATTGTTGACAATTAAAGTAAAGGAATTCTTACGTAGCTTAATTAGGGCGAGTTTATAGGGTTTTTACACTAATCCTAGAACTTAACTTTTAATCTACTACAGTATGCTTCAATTAGAAACAACGAAGAATAAGAAAACAATGTTATGGTACGATCCCTATTAGAGAATTTTGAGGTGCTGAAAGGTATCATATTGATTAAAAGAGTATTTAGGTAGACTTTCTCTTTACACTCATAAGAGTCTTATCTTAGTCTATACTAATATAAAAGTAGGCGTAGCTTAATATTTAATATACTCTTACATCTACTCTTTTTTCTTCCTTTTACAGTATAAATAATATACTATCTTATAAATATAGTATAAAAAACTATAATCTAAGATTTCTATTATAACGTGATCCATCACCGAGCGGGCCACATCACCAAGTGTGCCACTTTTTCTTGGCATCACGAACTTCACGTACAAAAGATAATGCCCTAATAATAGAACGCGATATTTACTTAGCAAGAAGGTAGGCTTACTCTAGCTATTTAGACCTATTGTATAGGCTAGTTTAAGAGCATTTAACGCGCTACAGCAGCCTATAACGTCTATTATTAGCAGATCTCTTAGCGGCTTTAAGGAATTACCTTTTAACCTACAACATAGCTAAATTGCTAGAAGCTAACTAAGTTTAAAGAGCGAACTATTGTATAATATATTCTTAACCTAGACTTGCGAGTATTTGCCCCCTGTCTATATGAAGTAGTAGATATAGCGGAGAAACTACTACGCGAACGAGATGGCGAGCCTTTAGGCAAATGCTAGGTAGAGCGGTTTATTACTTATATGAACGAGCTTAGAATAGCCTTTAGTTAAGCAAAGAATTGTTAGAGAACTTAATAAGAGAATATAGAGATTATGAACGCGTGGTTTAAGCTTGTATAAGAGATAGTTGAGAAGTATAGAGTTTATTTAGACGATATCTATAACTTTAATAAAACTAGCTTTTAGATAGGCGTAATTAGCTTAATAAAGGTAGTTATAGGCGCAGAGCGTCGTACAAGGCCTACTCTCACGCAGCTAGGCAATCGCGAGTGGGTTACAGTCATCTAGAGCATCTACGCTGCGGGATACGCTACTCTGCTATTTATTATCTACAAGGGACGTGTCTACATCTCTACATAGTACAAAAAAGCGAATATATTATACAACTAGAAGCTTTTAGTATTAGAGAACAGCTAGATAAATAATAAGCTTAGTCTCGCGTAGTTAAAGCACTTTAATAAGCATATAAAGACGCGTTAGGTAGGGTTATATAGGCTACTTATCCTTAAAAGCTATAAGAGCTACCTTAACTAAAAATTCAAGAATTACTACTTTATACAAAAGATCCTTACCCGCTATATACCTACTTATTTATTATATATACTTTAGCTACTTAACGTTATCTACTTTTTGCCTCTTAAGTAGAAGTACTCTTAACGCGCATAAGACTTAGCAGGCTACTATATCTAGCATATTAATAAGAAGCGCTTCCTTCTAGCCTTTTAAGACGCGTTTTTTAACGTGTTTACGTCTAATAACTACAAGAAGGCCTTTAAGGTAGTAGGGCTAGTCCCTATTAACGCGTAGAGAGTTATTAATCGCCTTAACGTACGCCTTTATACTCTACTATAAGAAGCTTAGCTAGAAATACCCTAGATATTAAGAATACTAAGTAATTCGTATAAATTTAGGTTATAATTAAAGCTTATAAGAGAGTCTTTTATATAATTACTAACTACTATATAAGAAGGCTTTTTAAAGCTTATTAAAGGGGCTAAGGAGATGCTACATAAAGATGTGCTTATAAAGGCCCGCGTAAGAGAGCTTAAAGAGCATTTAGCAGTAGTAACAAAGCGCCAAGGGCGCAAAAGAAAGCGAATTCAGACAGGTGGGACACTAGACTTTAGTGTAGAGGCATCGCAGGTAGCTAAAAGTAGTTCTGCTGGTCGTACGACATTAAAGAAGGCACGTAGTAAGGGTAGTTAAGAAAGGGCCCTACTAGGTCAACAGCACTATAGAACATATAAGAGAACAGGCTATAACTCTTGTACGTGCTAGAAAGATGTAGAAGAAGATTCTTTTTTAGATATAAGTAAGTTATATAAAGCATCTATAGCTAGTGTAGAGTAATCTAAGTTTTTGTACATGAAGTTCGTGATGCTAAGAAAAAGTGGCACACTCAGTGATGTGGCCCGCTTGGTGATGGAATATGTTAATTCTAGTAATTTACTATTTTAGTATTTTAGTGTTTTTAATATCTTTTCTAGCTAGTAGAAAATTGATATTAAGCTTTAAGTAAACTAAGTTTAAAGTACTTATAATAAAATAACATAGCGCGCTTACTATTCTCTATAGTATAACGTTATTTACTATAGTATATTACTTATATATTCTGAAATAAATTTATATGTCTTTACAGTATATTCTATAGTGTTCATTTAATAACTATATTAGATATTAAAACTACTTTTAGTTCTTATACTTTAACTCTACTTGATAATAGTAGTAGTGTTAGTAATTGTCTATAAAGAGGTACTAACCTCTTCTACCTATATATATAGTTAGGAAGTATTTTTTAAAAACAATTCTGAGTTATATTACTAATCTTTTTATCAAGAAAAAAGGAAAATATATCTCTATTCTGTATTAGATAATAAAGTAGTTTTATTTACAATAAAGTTCTTTGAATATACGTTTAACTTTCTTATATCTTTTTTATCGATAAGTGCTAGTCTTATAGTTATGTTAACTATATACTAAGTAAAAGTTATATTTACTTTATTAAGAGGTAAAGCTGTACTATTCATGAGTATAACTAGCGTCTTTTTATGATTCATTTTATACTATAATTACGCCATAGCGCGATATTAATTTGATAACTATAAGTACATTATTGTTTTTTTCAACAAAATAAAAAATTCAAAGTAAAGCATATGAATCAGAATGTAAATTTTTTTTTAATTACTACTTAGTTTTTAGCTTGGTTCTAGATGAAAGTACTCTAATAAGCTTTATATTACCCTTTAAAAGGCTTATAACACTACCTTCTTCTATAGCTTAAACTATTGTATTATTTTATTTTTCTTCAGCTTAGCTATATTACGTGAATTTGATATAGTTTTTCATTTTTGAGTTACTTTTCTATATTATAGGATCTAGGTTTTGCCTTAAATAGTTATACAAGTAGCATGAGAGAAATGATTGATTCATAGCATATAGTAGCTTATTAGATTTCTACTACTTAAGTAACGACTATGTCTATTCCAGGTTTGAATATTATTCAAACCCTCTTATAGAATTTGCTTTCTAGCTATACTACTTTTAGCTTATTTACATTTTACCTCAATCATTATGGTAAAGTATATTACCTTCTTAGCCTTAACAATATTGAAAATAAAAGAACAGTTTTGTTAGTTTTAAAAACAGCGTATTAAGTATAATATATGATATACAAGATAGTTAATTAGTTACTTTTATCTCTACTTCTCTCTACTTATTTTTTTATGTGACATAGTGGAATTCTACTATTATACAGCTATCTTTATACTATTTAGTAGCTCTAATGTTCTACCTATAGTAGTTATTACTAGCGTATAGTAGAATAGTTTTGCTATGATAGATCCGTTATAAAACTTGAATATTATATTAAAGCTAGCTATCTTAAAAAGAGTTATATATACTGTTTAAGGTATGATATACTATAGTAAAACCTCTTTACATATCTGGGCTAGGATCTTTTTAGTATTATAATAACTACTTAAAAGTAGCTATATAAAGAATAAAATGTTATTATACTGACTTATTATTCATCTTCCCTATTTATTATAATAAGAATATTTCAACTACTGACAGTTACTCCAGATTACGAACTCAATCCCAACTACCTACAATAGAGAGATAGAGAAGATAATCCCATACAGGTTTAGGCCATGGGATAGTCTTAACTACAAGGTTACAATCTCTAGAAAGACAAAAGAAGAAGAGGCAACTGCACACACAGCCTACATCCAATCAAGGATAGGAGACAACTTTACAGCAATCTACTCTGACGCCTCTAAGATCAAAGAGGGAAAAGGCATAGGAGTAGGCGTAGTAGCTTACAACTCAGCCCAAGAAGAGCTCTACGCTGAGAAGAAGAACATTGGAGATCTCCAACTAGTCTACAATGGAGAGCTAGAGGGGATTACAA